GATTGAGGTCGTAGTTTTGACTCCATTGAGTTCTCGTAGTCGACCTGTCTAGCACCTTACATACGTGATTTCGGCATAGAGAATGTGATTATTGTTTCAGATTTTTCATCTACATTTTTCTTCAGTTTTTTCTGAAATTCTTCATTTTATTTTTCTATCGCGTATTTTCCTAAACGTAGTAAGATCGGAATTTGAGGTCTAGGGTTCTTTTGCTCCATTTGAGTTTCTCGTAGTGAGCTCTTACCCTACATACGGAATTTTCAGGAGGTAGATGTTCGATTATTTTTTCGATTTTTCTCACTATCTTTTTGGGTTTTCTTTTCTGAAAGTTCTTCAATTTTATTTTACGGCGTATTTCCTAAACTATTAAGTCGGATTGAGGTCTAGTTTTCGCTCCATTGAGGTTTTCTCGTAGTGAGCTCTTACTACAACGCTGATTTTCAGAGAGAGTGATTATGTTCGCTTTTTCTCAATTTTTGAGTTTTTTTGAAATTTCTTCAGTTTATTTTACGCGTATTTCCTAAAAGTATAAGTCGGATTGAGTCTTTTTGCTCATTGAGTTTCTCGTGGAGCTCTACGTACATACGTGTTTCAGCGAGACGTGATTAGTTTTCCGATTTTGTCGCTCAGTTTTTTCAGTTTTTTTCTGACTAATTCTTTCAATATTTATATTTACCGCACGTATTTTCGCTTAAACATATTTAAGTCGGCATTAATGGTCTTAGTTTGCTCCATTGAGATTTCTCGTAGTGAGTCTCTACCTCAATACGTGATTATCAGAGAGACGCGATGATTTTCGATTTTTTTCCATTTTTTTCAGTTTTTTGTACTGAAAATTCTTCAATTTTAGTTTTACGCGCTATTTCTAACATAAGTCTGATTTAGGGTCTAGTTTGCTCTCATTGAGTTTCTCGTAGTGAGCTTCCGTTACATCTGGATTTCAGAGAGAACCAAATGATTTTCGATTTTCTCTATGTTCTTTTGAGATATATATTTTTGCAACACATAATTCATTTTTATTTTATCGCAGGATAATTTCCTACACAACCACATATAAAGGTCGGATGAGGGATGTATGTTTGCTCTCTCAATAGTGGTTTCTCGTACGTGACCTCTACCACAGTACGTGATTCAGGAGAGAACGCGATGACTTTTCGATTTTTCTCTATTTTGATTTTTCTGAAAAATTCTTACAATTTTTTCTTACGCGTATTTCCTAACTAAAGTGGATTGAGGTCTAGTTTCTCCATTGAGTTTCTCGTAGTACCTCTCTTACTTACTATACGTGATTTAATCCAGAGAGATGTGATTTTTTCGATTTTTCTCATTTTTTGCAGTTTTTTTTCTGAAAAATTCTTCAATTTTATTTTAGCGCGTATTTCCTAAAACTACATAAGTCGATTGAGGTCTAGTTTGCTCCAATAGTTTCTCGTAGTGACGCTCTACTACAGTACGTGATTTCAAAAGATGTGATCTATTTTGATTTTTTCTCAATTTTTTAGTTTTTTTTCTGAAAATTTTCAACTTTTATTTTACGCGTATTTCTAAACTTAAGCGCTGGATTGGGTCAGTTTGCTCGCATATGAGTTTTTCTCGTGTGACTCTAACCTACAATACGTGATTTAGAGAGACGTGATTATTCTTTCGATTTCTCATTTTTGAGTTTTTTCTGAAATTCTCAAATTTTTATTTTAACGCGTATTTCTAACTATAAGTCGATTGAGGGTCTAGTTTGCTCCATTGAGTTCTCGTATGAGCTCTAACCTACATACGTGATTTCAGAGAGATGTATTATTCGATTTTTTCTCACTTTTTGAGTTTTTTTCAAGTAAAAATGGTCCTTCAGTTTTTATTTTACGCGTATTGGTTCCTAAAGTATATAATCGGATTGAGGTCTAGCTTTTTGCTCCATTAAGTTTCTCGTAGTGACCTCTACTACATACGTGATTTCAGAGAGAACCGATGATTTTCGATTTTTTTCAATTTTTTTTGAGTTTTTTTTTTCATTCTGAAATTCTTCCTATTTATATTTACGCAGTATTTCTAAACTATAAGTTCGGATTGGAGGTCTAGTTTTGCTGTGAGTTTCTCGTAGTGACCTCTATATATACGTGATTTTCAGAAGAGATGTGTTACTTTATTCGATCTTTTCTCAATTTTTTCAGTTTTTTTGTCGAAAATGTCCGTTTATCCAATTTTAAACTTTTACGCGTAATTCTACTCAATAAGTCGTTTGCAGTCTAAGTTTGCTTCCATTGGGAGTTTTCGGGTAGTGACCTCTACCGTCATCCGTGATTTCAGAGAGATGTGATATTTTTCGCATCTCTCTCAATTTTCAGCTCTTTCTCTGAAATTCTTTACAATTTTATTTTACGCGTATTTCCTAAACTAATAAGTAGTCGGATTGAAGGTCTCAGTTTGTCTACATTGAGTTTCCGTAGTGGGACCTCTACCTACATACGTGAATTCAGAGAGATGTTGATTATTTTCGATTTTTCTCAATTTTTCAAGTTTTTTTCTGAATAATTTCTTCAAATTTATTTTACGCGTATTCCTATCATCTATAAGTCCGGATTGAGGTCTAGTTTGGCTGCCATTGAGTTTCTCCGTAGTGAGCTCTACTTACATAACGTGATTCAGAGAGAAGCGATCTTTTCGATTTTCTCTATTATTTGAGTTTTTTTCTGAATATTCTTCATTTATTTTAACGCGTATTCCTAAAACTATAGTCGGATTGAAGGTCTAGTTTGCTCCATGCGTTTCTCGTAGTGAGCTCTACTACAATACGTGGGATTTCAGAGGAGATGTGATTATTTTCGATTTTTCTCATTTTTCAGTTTTTTCTGAAAATTCTTCAACTTTTTATTTTACGCGGGTATTTCCTAAACTATAAGTCGGATTTAGTCTAGTTTGGCTCACATTGAGTTTCTCGTAGTGAGCTCTACTACATTACGTGATTTAGAGGAGATGTGATTATTTTCGAATTTTTCCTCATTTTCAAAGTTTTTTTTCTGAAAAATTCTTATCAATTTTATTTTAAACGGCGTATTCTAAACTATAAGTCGGATTGGAGGTTAGTTTGGCTCATTGAGTTTTCTCGTATGAGCCTCAAGTAGACGTTAGACGCAATGGCGACGGGAATCCAGCGTGAAATGTGTATGGACCTATGCTCTGCGTTAATTCAAAACGTTGAAGTCCGTAACAAATGCTCCTGATTGGATAATAGTCTTCATCTTAAATGTGTGGTCTCCTCCACTCATTTCAGATTTTTCAGAGAGAGAACTCAATCATCGCAAAACCAAGGTCTTCAAGCTCATTCGAACCTACTGACAAGTACTTCTAGTCTTTACATCATCCCAATCTCTTATTATTAATTTGATCATGTCAGTCCCCAGAATTTTTACAACACAAAAAAAAGATCTACTCTGGGCATCATTGCAATTAACTTGGCACATGGTGAAGAGGATAGCAAAATATCCAAAGTATCGTAATTTTCTAGAAATGGGTTTTATTTCATCAAAACTGATCTTAAAGACTAAGAAGTACTTGTCAGTAGTTCGAATGAGCTTGAAGACCTAAGTTTTTGGGATGAAGATTTCTCTCTCTGAAAATCTGGAAATGAGTGGAGGAGGAGCTTTGTTACGACTTCACGTTTTGATATTAAAGTTACCAATTGGAAAAGTGTGCCCTTTCCTTGCCGCTTGTGATCTTGAGGAGATACCAGTGGCAGCTCATGACAAGGTAGGCAAAACATATTACTGAAGAGCGGCGGAATCGGGGCGTAGGGATCATGCCTCCATCCCAACTAAATTATTTTGAAATTTTATTCAATTTATTGAAAACAATTGTCTCACTGGTATCATTACTTCCAAAGTAAGTGCAGACGTGATACGAAGATACTGAGATTCTAAAGAAGTGCTGTGAGTTTAGCTCTTAGCAATACCTAATACAGAAATTGGATTCTATTTCCCCCCAGGCTTTTAAGAGTCACTGAATTACATATGACGTGATTTTTGGCATTTCAAGTTTTTGTGCAGCTTTTGATAAATTTTTCGTTTTTTATTCGAAGAACCCTCATAATTGGCAATAGAAGACATGGGCCAACAATAAAGCTTAGCTTTTAACATTACCCATTTGTGTGCAACATACCACGAAGGATTGAATGTTCTTCCATTTTGCTCGATAGTAGGCTACGATGTACAACTGTACTCTACACACGAAAAGATCGACCATTGCCCTCCCGGCCACAACCAAAGCGAAACGGAATACTAGAATACTGTTTCTCCAGAGGGCGCTACTTTGCCTGCAAGAAACATGGTTTCAATTTGCTGAAAAGATGGGGGCGCGTTAGCCACTCTAATGTATTTTAGCTAGTTGATTCAATCGAAAAAACTACCACAAAAAACATGAGATGCGTTTAATATAAGTAGCTTCTACCTGCAACGCAAGAGCAACAACTAGACAATCAGAATTTTTCTCAGACTCCCGCCAATTGTGTTCTGAAATGGTTTTACGATTCAAAGGTTCGGGAGATCGGCATACGTTCAACTCGCTTATAGAACAGGAAGGTCAAAATACACACTCATCTGCGGGCACTCTTTACGGGGTACTTTAGGTGATAACGTCGCGTCGTCGATGTTACACACGGATGTAGCGCAGTCATGTCAAATTGCGGCCGCACGAGTTACTTGCATGCTTGGGACGCGCGGTGCTCCAGCGGGAACCTCACGCGGGAGATTTTCTCCGCAAATCAAAGTCTACTCCATCAGCAATTCTCGTATCAGCAATTCTCGTCTCTCATCAGCAATCAACTGTTCGTAAGTTCAAGCAAGGCGGGTTAAAATTCAGGCTTGCTACGTAGAATGAACACATCCAAAGTTTCAAATGAAAATGAGAAATGCTACTTTATTAATTTAAAATTTTGACATTTTATTAAAAATTATTATTACTTTCATTTAATTGCATACTTGTAAAG